AAAAAAAAAAAAAAAAAAACCATAAATAAAATATCCCTATATGTCATGAGCTGGATAGTGATGATGGTCAAGGCTACACAGAGAAACCCGTCTAAAAAAAAAAAAGTCATAATGAGATTTCACACACATTGGTCTCTATAGAAATAGTTTCTTTGTTTTTCTTTCCTTTTTTAAAAAATTTATTATGTATAGTGTTCTGCCTGTGTGTATGCCTACAGGCCAGAAGAGACCACAAGATCTCATCATAGATGGTTGTGAGCCACCATGTTGTTATTAGGAATTGAACTCAGGATTCTGGAAGAGCAGCTAGTGCTCTTAACAGCTGAGCCATCTCTCCAGCCCTTGTTTTTATTTCTAAGTAGATTTTATTGTATGGCATGAAATTGGGTGTTCACTATTTTTGAGTTACTTGTACATAAAGCTTCTACCACTTCAGAGCACTCTTGTGCATGTGGTTTTTGTTTTTCCCTTTGTTTTGAGATGGTCTTATGTAGCCCAGGCTGACCTCAAACTTGCTAAGCGGCTTAGATTACTTTAAACTTCTGATTTTCCTGCCTCTGCTTCTGAATGATAGGATTACAGGCATGTATCACCACTGGCTATATGTGGTGCTAGTTTTGTTGTTGTTGTTGTTGTTGTTGGTGGTGGTGGTGTGTGTGTGTGTGTGTGTGTGTGTGTGTGTGTGTTATTTTGATTTTTGAAACACTATGTAGTCTTGGCCTCGCTATATAGACCAGGCTAGTATCAAACTCATAGAGATACACCTGCATCTGCCTCCTGAGTGCTGGGATTAAAGGAATGTCCTACAATGTCTGGTCTGGTGCTGGGTTGCTGGGTATTGAACCCTGGACCTCATGCATGCTAGGCAAGCACTCTACCAAAAATAAAAATAATTTTCATCTGCTGCCAAGAATTCTAATAATGTAGAGTACTTTAAAACATTTTTTGAAAAATATTTTTATTTTTTTAAAAATTGTGTGTATGCATGTGTGTCTGTGAGGTGATATGTGTAAATTCCATTGTCCTTGTATGTATATATGTCTGTGTTAGTATGTGCACATGTATATGAGTGTTCACAGAGATCAGAGGAGGGTATCAGGATCCCTGGAGCTGGAGTTATAGGTGGTTGTGAGTCACGAGATGTGGGTGCTAGGAACTGAACTCAGGTCCTCTGTCTTAACTAGTGAGACATCTCTTCCCCATAAAGACTCTTGCAGACACCCACTTAGCTCTAAAGCAGAGCCCCAGCTATCCAACTCTATAAAATGTCTGTTTGAAAATACTGCGTTTTTTTTTTTTTTTAAAAAGTGTTATATTCTGAAATAGGCTCCATTCTTCATTGCCAGAATTTGAAAAGCTCGCCAGGATGTAGCAAAATGGTTTCCTCTTTCAATCTGACTTTAGAAGCAGTGGACTATCAATCTAAGAATCTCTTTTCACCTTTGAGAGGAAGTGCATTCAGATTGCCAGGTGGACTTTGGAAGCCTGGCAGGTGTTCCTCTTTGGCAGTTTGCGGCAGGTGAAGGGTTTTAGAGGCAGTAAAACCCAGTAGGGAAGGAGGAAGTGTGAGAGCCAAGCTGAGACAGCAGGGTCCTCTTGTGCTGGCTGGGGAGTGTGTTATGAAGTTATCTACTCAGACTTCCAGTGGAAGGACCTGGATCCTAGCACATCTCTCAGAGCGTTTCCAGGTTCCAGGTCCCCTTCCTTAGGCCTGTTGGACGGCTCTCTGCATGGCTTAATGCCTGCTGTTGGTTACTGCTCCTTGTGTTCCCTGCAGACTGGGATTGGGTGCTCCTGTCGTAGTTTTGTTATTTTTGCTGTTTTATGGCCCAGACAATTGCAGAGGTAAATCTCTCACTGAATCAGCAAAGATGCTTTCCACTGCAGATTACAGAAAACTCTGACTCCTTCTAGCATGCATCTAGTCTTCCTCCTTCCTTCCTTCCTTCCTTCCTTCCTTCCTTCCTTCCTTCCTTCCTTCCTTCCTCCCTCCCTCCCTCCCTCCCTCCCTCCCTCCCTC